GCATATAAATGGCCTACCCAATAATTTCCAAATTTTCTTTGTTTTCAATTGTTTATTGATGTGTTCAAGATCTCTAGCATGTTTTTTTTTATAGATTTTGTTTGTTAAACATCTGCCACACACACACGTAAAAAATCGAAATCAATTGAAAACAGAAGCGTAATGAAAACATAAACAAATAAATGTTTAAAAATAACTTCTAGTCTAGTTTCTGAGGGGCTGAAGTAATCAATGAAATTTCGAAACTGTTTTTGTGTGTGTTTGTGGTTTCTATTTGTGTTTGAATTTTTTTTCGTTTCGTTTAGAGTAAATTTTTGTTTATCTGGTAAAGGGAACTGATGGATAGGTAAACAAAGAAAGATGAGGGAGGACAGGATATAGGCTAACTATGTTTATTCTATTTAGAGATACATATTTAATTGTTATAAAATAAGAAGCCTTTTAGGTTTTTGGATTTTTTTTTTAAAATGTTATGATTTACATAATCGTACATAATATGTACGGCGTAGTATTCAAATAGAGTGCAGTAGTGTACATTGGGGTCAAATGTAATACACATGATTGGAAAACTATTTTAATTTTTTACTGAAGCTGAAAATTCAGTAGCGGAATGATAATTTGGGTTAGTAATTTTGCAAATATATTAACACGAAATCGACCTCCACTGCCGTTTATTGAACCGAGAACTTCAATATGAATAACAAATTATAGGAAAAGTGAAAAATTTAAAATTCCATATTTTTCGTTTTATATACAATGATAAAGTATTTCCTTGAACAAGAATACCAAAAAAGAACGACTAATTTTTCAAAAACAAAATTTCCAGCAGGAAATTTATCAAAATCAACTAATCATATTCAAAAATTATTTGGACTTTGATTTCGAAAAATATGAAAATGGACATAAATATATTTGACGGTCATTAGCAGGTGTCTAATGACACCCATGTCCGCCTAGATTAAATCTATTTACCGCACGAGTTGTCTTGCATTCATTAATTTTGGTGTACTTAGTAATGAAGTGGTGGAAAATTAGGGAAGTGTGCATTATTGGGGGGTTAGTCATAGTCTAATTACATTTTTGTGGTTATTTGAAAATTTTTTTTTTCAAAATTATTTCCTGTGGTCAAAAAAAATCGGGTATTTAAAAAAATAATTATTTCTGTGATTTTGTTTTGGGTAAAATTGTGACACAGGTGCACCTATTCTCGATAGAAAAGTGAAGGGGCACAAATGCGATATATAAGCGTTGTAAACACATTTTCCAAGAAGCCATGGGGGGGGGGGGGGTTCAATTTGAAAGCACATTCCAAAATATCAAAAATGATTTTAATAGTTATAAATTACTGTAGCAGTTGGACAATTTTTTTTGGTCATTTGTGCCTCCAATTAGATTTTCCGATTTTTGGTTCAGGTAAATTTGGTATCTAATTGGAAATTTTATTTGCTACCTGAATACATTTTTGAAATACCGACTTTCAACTTTTATTTTTCTCATCTAAAAATATATTATGAAAAATCCAATGAAATACTAGTTCTAGGAATTCATATTGTGCAAAATATAATTTTTGTAATATGACAGTTTTGAACATTTCCCTAACCTTGATTTTGGAAATTCGAGAAGGAAGGAATGTGAAAGTGTGGAATAGAATCAGTGCTTAGCACATTTGGACATTAAAGATAAAGTGGATATTTTTAAATTTTAAGACAATCCAGCAAAAACCCTAGCTAAATAATGAGTTTCTAAAGAATGTGTTGGAAAACGTTTCTATGCTTCATTCGTTAGAATATTTCAATTATTTTCTTATTAACTTTATTTTGGCTCAATGTCAATTGAAAACATCAGTGTTTTATTTTTATAATTTTGATTTTTATATTCCGATATATTTCAATTAATTTTTTATTATTAGTTTTAAAATGTGGGCATATTTTTCCGGTTTATAAAACATTTTAGATTTTAGAGATTTTTAGTTCAATATTGAATTTTTTACAGGGGGCAGGATATTTCCTGTAAAATATATTTAGTAAATAGAAAATAAGAGAATTTGTAACATGAGAAAACTTCAATTTCATGCTTTTTCCTGTTTTATTTTTTTGTGTTTCAGTTATTATTATAAAATTAATAATAATATAAAATGAAAGATTATTGACTTTTGGTCCTTAAATACCCTAACCCCAAAAAATCGAAATAAATAAATAAAACTCAGACAAGATGTCGCAAGAAAAAAACGCCAAGATTGAGATAAATCTTTTGAAAAATGTAGCTACAATTATCAAAACACCGAAAATAGGTAGGTAACATTTTATGGAGGTTATGCGAAGGCATGGATCTGCAAAAACATTCTGTCTTAGGAGGTGGGACCCATTACGAATTCCAAATACGAAATTTGAAAAAATTCCGTTGAAAACTGTGACACAAATCACGTAAATACCGAATATTTGGAGGTACACTTATATATGGGGTCTATACCAAGACTTGGGCCTATATGACCACTTCTCCGCAAGGATTTTTCCTATATACTGAGAACTTATAATTCCCATTTACAGCAAATTTGCGTTTCAATTGTGACTAAAAAACCCCGAAAAACCTTAAATACGTTGGTACAATTATGAGGGGGCCCTTACAAAACGTGGACCAGTATAGCAGATTTCCATTTAACAAAAGTCTTGACTGAGAGGAATTTTATGACCCCCCTTCCTTTCGTTTGGATGCTAGAGTCATGTCCACAGACGGACAGACAAGTGGACGGACATCGCCAAATCGACATAGAATCTTATGCTGATCAAGAATATATATACTTTGAAGGGTATACACTGTATATGCCGAGGTGTTGCAAACGGATTGACAAACTTAATATACCTCCATGAAAATTTTTAATACGTATTTCGAATTGGCAAGCAATAATCAAAAAAAAAAAAAAAAAAAAAATAATAATAATAATATTTCTCCATTAAATCTCTTATTTTAAAAATTTCACAATATTTGCTCTTAAAGTCCTTCAAAATGTTCATAATTTTTCTTTTAGGACAAAATTAAGGATCAGAAACGATTTTAAAAATGAAAATAATTTAAAAAAAAAAAAAAATAAATAAATAGATATTATCGATAATTACTCTAAAAGCTTTTATTTATAACATAAGTCCACGAATACTATCTAGAAGTCCTTAGGCTAAAATTTTTTAAAAAATACACAATTAATTCCATTTCTTTAAGTTCATAAGGACATTCTTGAAAAAATTTTGGTCATTGCTCAGAAAATTTCTAAAAAAATTATATTAATTTAAAACTCTGTAGAAATGTTCTTTCAAAATCCACAAGTGCTTCTTTTTTTAAAGTCCACAAAAATATTTTTGAAAAAATAAATAAATAAAACGATTACTTATTTAAAAGTTTGTCGAAAAAATCATAATTTCTCTAAAAATTCGGACAAAAAATTGTAAAAAATCTACTATTGGTATTTTTTAACAAGTCCCAAAAACATTATTATTAACTTAAAGTCCTCGAAAAAATATTCCTTAAAAATATACAATTACGAAATTTACGAGAAATTAATAAAAAAATCACATTTGTTGCTCCTATTTTAGCCTAACATATTTTTCTTAAAGTCTCTGCGAGAATAATAAAATTAAGTTTTTTTGTTGAATGTTGTGTTGACACTTTGGAAATTGAACTAAAATTGTATTCTCAAAAAAATCAAAATAACAGAATTTAATGAGCGGTTGTCGCCTATGTCATACTTGTAATGATTCCTTATAGAAATTTTCGATAAAGTAATTTATACGAGAATGCTGATTTTCTAAATTCAATTATTTATAGGCTGTGTTTTCTTCTGGCCAATATTGGGAGAAAAATTGGGGTTTTCTTCTTTCTTCTTCTTACTTTAGACAAAATCGTTTCGGCGATATTATTTAAGACCTATTTCTTTATGACGATACGAGAGTAAATGCAACCGATGCATTCTTTTAGTACTACAAAAAACGCATAATTCACTCTCAAAATTGACCTTAAGGAGTCAAAAATTATTTGTCTTAACAATGGTTTTGAATTTCAGGTGAATTTTTGAATGATTCTATTTATTTCTATGAAAAATCTCAGAACAATATTTGCCCCGCACTCATAATAAACTTATATTTTTTTTTAATTTTTAAAATTTTTTTCTCCAATGTTTGTAAATTTTGCATCTTCATCATCATCACCACTGCCCCCAATTCTTTTAAAAATCAAAAAAAAATACAAAAGGAAAATCAAGTTTTCAATATTGTTTACGAAAAACTCATCTCAATAACCCTATATCAGCAAATTATTATTCTCCAACCCCCAAAAGGAAAGTTACCCCTAACCTAATCATCACACTAGATATATGTTTTTTCACATTTCATTATGTTTCTGTGGCACTTTACAATTTTCAAATTTCTGGTTGGTATAAAACTCACACACACAATTATCGAAATGTCAATATCTTTAACTAACTACATTTCGGAGCATAGTTTATTTTCAAAATTCTATTTCTTTTGTTTTGTGTTTATTTAGATAATGCCAAACTTACTTTTTCCAGAGTACAAACTTTGGTTTTCATGTTGTGGTTTGAGGTTATGTTTATGATTTCCTGAATCTTGACGGAAGAAGCAAAATACACGAAATCACTAATTTATTGCACCAAGTTTTTTTCGTGTGTTGGCAAAGCAAAGCTAATTTTTTCTGGTTAGCAGTTTCACAAATTTATTCACTTGGAAATTCCTTTTTTTAAGTATGGGTTTTGAGATTTGGTTAATTGCACTTTTTTAGAATTTCTTTAATTTTTTAGCAATTTTTTTGAATTTTCAAAATTGTTATTTCAACTTTTTTGCAATAGAAATATTTTGAAATCTATTTTTCTTTTGTTAGTATTTTTGGTTAATCACTTGTTTTTTCTTTGTGTTTTTCTTCTGTGAGAAAACTGTTGATTATTATTTATTTAGCTTTTGAAATAGAGGATATGAGCAAAAATTTGTATTCTTTACCTTTTGTATTGTTGGCATTGATTTTGGACACAAGAATGCTTTTTTGATTTTCTTTATAAATCCAATTTGATTTCTTTGGTTATTTTCCCGATTTATTTTTAATTTTTTGCTTTGTGGTAAAGACACTTTTGTTGGTTTTTTTGTTTACAATACGGCTTGGGCTTTGTTTTCAAAAATATTTATTTTTCACTTGTTTTTTGTATTGAATTTTTTTCTTTACGTTCTCATTGTTATCCTCAACGGTTGGTTTTTTTGGCTCGTATATTCTTCGATTTTTGAAAAAATAAATTTTATCCTTTTTTAAATACTCGTTTAGCCAGTGGGAAAGAAAAAAACACACAACACACACAGTAAACGACGCTCCAGAGTGTCCTGCGGTTTAGACTTAGCAATAAGAACTGTTCGTTGAATTTTTGTTGTTTCAACTTTTTGAATGTTTATTTCCCAAAAACGTAAAAGAGAAATGAACGACAACGGCAACGACGGATACGGCGACGATGACGACGACGATGGCGATGACTACAACAAACGAGGAGAATCTTTCACTAAGCTACTTCTGACAGTCAACCAACGAACGAGCGAACATACAAACCAGCCAACCAAACAGTCATCCAGTCAGTTAGAGTTTTCACCAATACCCATATATAAGTGGTTGCTGGGAGAGGGGGGCACTGAGATGTGAGAGCATAAACAAATAATGCGCGCGCGGGGCTCTACAACAACACTCATGCAAGGGGGTTGTTATTTCGTTCAGACCGTCGTTTGTCGGGTCGTTGTAAACAAAGATCAAGTGGCCCACAGAATTGATGTGGTAAATGTTCGGAGCGACAGAGGGTCGTTGGCAGAGATAAGCATGAAGAATTTTCCATACAAATGAAAAAAAAAAAAAAAAAATAGAAAAATATTGTAAACAAAAGGCAAAATCGATGTTGTTTTTGTTGTAGCTAATAGTTGTAAATTTTGGAAAATACTGCAATATGTTTCCAATCTCTCTCAGTTATTGTTGTTGGTATTTTTTGTTTGCTCTATAAGCTGAATGAATTTTTAGTTATAACATACCACCTAGAATTGGTATGAACACCAACACACACTCACATTTATCGTTGAGTTGTGTGGGTACATTTATTGCTGTTATTGTGGAGAACATCCATCCATTAGATATTTAACCGACAGAGGATTAGTTAAAAGGGACACATTTACTGGCTTTTTCTTCTTCAGCAGGTTCTCTAAATAATATTCGCTCTCATCCAGAGAATTCTCTCTCGTCCACACATACTCCAAAGCACCCACACAATGACACAAATTTATTCACCACTGAGGAAAATCATAGAAATTGGAAAATCCCCTAACACACATCAAACTCAAATGCTTGGTTGTCTGCTGTATTTGATAAACTGGCAACGAGGGAGAATCGTCAATAGCATTCGTTTTTACCGACAAAGGGAGAGTAACAAAAATGCTCTTGCTCTCTTGTTTTATATCACAGCAAGAGTTGCGGCAAACAAGTAACATTGAAGCCGAGTAGGTATCCCACACAACAGTAATAAACGAGAGGGGCGAGAGAGAGTTTGCTGTGCCATAGAGAGAATAAGACATAAGAAAATTGACTCAAATACGGCGAATTGGTGAGAACCCCTCAAATCAGACGTTGTGTGTTATGATTTCCCCTAACAGTGGAAAACCACAAGGCGAAGAGAAAGTCTCATTTAAGCAAACAACCAAATCCACCATTCTACTTACTTTTCTTGGTTTTATGAGTGAGAAGGGGAAAAAACAGTCAAATGATAAGATTTTAATGTATTTGGTCTAGGTCTTTGGCATGACTCACCCTCTATGCCTGACAGAGGTATTAAGAATTTGTAGACTTTGGGTGATATGAGAAGAGAGATAGAGAGAATGAGTGTCTGCAACAGAAAGGCATTGAGAATTGAGTGAGGTGTAAATAATGATGAGTGCACTTGGAATAATCACTGTCGGGAATAAAAGAAGGGTGGGTGGGTTTTAGGCTGTGTGTGAGTAGAAATTTTCAAAACAACAGAGAAATTCTATTTGGGAATTTGTTTTTATTTTGTGAGAATCCTTCAAAGAAAATCTCCTAAAAAACATCTATTGGCAGAATATATTTTTGTTTTGAATCCTTTGTAGTCTTCTCATTATTTTGTAGAAATTGCAAGAAAATAACTATTTTTTGTAGAATTTTTAGTTTTAACTCCTATCTAATGTCCTCCACTCACAGGAATTTTTTAAAAAAAATTCCGCTGATTCCTGCTCTTTAAATAAAAATTGGTTCAAAAAGAAAAAATTTAATTGTATCACGTGAAGAAGGTTTTGTTAGATTTTGTACTTTTAAATAGACTCTAAACAAGATGAGTCGTGTATAAACTTGTTTTTCTCACAAAATACAAAAATATACGTTAATAGCCAGGTTACATGTTGTACATGTTGGAGTCCTACATACAGCGACTTCTTCAATGAGTATCATCTTAAGAATTTCATAGCATACTTTAAAGCGCTCGCAGGCTTCGAAACAGCTGCTGGAACAATGAACTGTGTAACCAATTTTGGAATTGAAAATTGTGAACGAAACATTAATGAAATTTATAAAAATTGTAGAAAAATTAATTTCATAACAACCTCCGATTCGTGTCGTGTAAGACAAAATATAAAAATCTACTTATTTTTGACAAAATATTTTAAAAAAATTGACATATCAACATTCCCAAGCGTTGATGCATCTACCTGTATTCTTCTACCATGATAAAAAGGAAGACTTCAAAGTGTGGTACAAATTATATTTATTATATTATATTTATTTCCTGAATCCCATTCTTAAGGTTTAAGGATAGTATACATGTTGTCAATGTATATTACATAGTGTGTAGTTTCTTTTGATTAAAAAAAATAGAGAGAGTGCTTAGACAAGTAAAAAGAAGTAAGTTCGGCCGGGCCGAACTTTTAATACCCCCCACCATTTGGAAGGAATTTCGCAATTTTCAAAAAAATAAAATCTGTTAAAATTCTGTTACAATCTCAAAAATACCAAATGTAGCCATTATATTAGGGTCTATACGACGACGTGGACCTGCACAGGCAACTTTTGCCATAAAAATAAAAATCGGTGTATAATGTAGCTAAATACATCAAAATACCGAATATAGGGAGGTACTATTATATTGGACTATACCAAAATGTGAACCTACACATACAGTTTCTGTCTAATGCTGTAGTACCCCTTGCGAACTTCAAATACCACATTTCAAACAATTCCGGTGAATAATGTCGCTAAAAAATCATCAAAATACAATTCCGGTAAATAATATCGCAAAATCATAAAAAACCGAATATAGGGAGGTACCGTTACTTGGGGGCTAAACGAAGACCTGGACCTGCATAGACAATTTTATGTCATAGACTGTAGTTCCCATTACGAAATTTGAAATTTTAAGCAATTCCGGTAAATAGTGTCCCTAAAATCATCCAAGTACCGTTATATGGAGGGCTATACGATGCATACGCAATTTTTTGTCATAGGATGAACCCATTACGAATTCTAAATACGAAATTCGAAACTTCAAAATACCTAATACCATTATATTGTAGATATACGATATCGTGGAGCTATATAGACAATGCTCTTCCAGGGTGTAAAGTAATCAGAAAGAACTCCTTTTGAGGATTTTCAATTTCAATTTTATTGAAATTTTTGGCTACAATCTTCAAAATACCGAATATCGGGTTGTACCGTAATATGGGGGCTATGCGATATCGTAGACCTACGATATCGTAGAAAGACAAAGTACTGATCTGTGCAAGAATTTAGCTTCCTATCTTTATTCCGTTTGACTCTAGCGTGATTACAACAGATGCTGATCATTTGTCATGTCTAAAGTTATTATTTCGATGAGCTACAATCGGAATGACGAACTTAATATACCCTCCATACTATGTATGGTGGAACATGAGATGCTCTGTAACATTTGTTAATTAATTACATTATTAGAACGGAATATAAAAAATAAAATCCTTCGCTTGTTCTTACTGTCCATAATTTTATGCATTTCTCTTTAACTGCGGGAGTCACAAATCCTCATTGGGGGTTGATGATAATAATAATAATACTACAACAGCTGATGACGATGAAGATGTCCAAGGGGATGATGGTGGCTGTAGCTTTGTTTACTACCCGCAGTGTCATTCACTACAAATCTATGGCCTTAGAACAGTGCCTACAAAATGAGATATCAATCAAATGCCAATCATGAATCATGAACAATTTCAATGCAAAAGTCCAGGCAAATATTTGTGGCATAGTGGTTGGAATTTTTCTATTTCGGAATTAGATACTGAGATTTTCGCATGTCTTGTGAGTGGTGGAGAAGAACGACGGGAGCGAGATCGGCCAAAGTCTGAAGTATTTGAGGAATAATTTATTTCTGTGGGGAAGTTTAAGACAAATTGCCAATATTCATGAATGAGAGGAGAATTTAATTTAAAGTTAGTTTGTGGTTAACTTATAAAACAAAACTAAAAGCGTAGAAATAGCGTACTTTTTTTGCTCCTTAAATTCGAGAATTTTAGATTACCATTACCGAAGGGATATTCAAAAGATTGAAACACCGCAAATCTTTGAATGAAAGTCTTCTTCTTACTACCAACTCAAAATAAAAAATCTCAACCCATTCAGTTAGAAAACGTGGATAGGACAACATTATCTGGGGTTGAGTATTACATGAGGTCGCCAAACTAAATCTATGTTGAACATTTTTTGTGAAAATATATTCTATATATTGTACTTTACACCACTATACGTAATTAGTAGAGCTCCCGTAACAAAAAAAATTGTATTGGGAACTTAATGTGAATTAGACCATGCCGACTATGAACCTTATTTGAATGCGAGAAGTCACATTTGGGATTATATTAAAAACTATTTAGCAATACATATACCTGGCCGAGTTTCAACAAATGAAAAAAATCGTAAAAAATGTGTAGTGCCTATTTCTAGGATGAATTCAGTGATTCGATGTCGATAAACTTTGATAGATATATTTTTGAGCTCCATAAGATATCTGGTACCAAATATCATTCTTGTGGAGTGCATATTACGCATGAGAGGGATTTAAAACCCCCAAATCGGATGAAACATATATATATGGGGCTATAGCTATATTTAAATCGATTTTGGTGTAGGGTATAAAAACAGAGTGTACCGCAATATGGAGATATATCAAAGAGGGGATTCATATTGGATACCTTCTACAGGAAAACTAGGAGAATTTTTGAGTTGTAAGCATATTTTTTAAACAATTTCGCCTAGTATTGGTATTAAAGGCATTCAGTTAGACTTTTTCATGTAGCTCGAATATAATGTTACATACTGTTCCTTATGTTTTGGATGATACTGATATTGGCTTTCAGGAGGTAGACCACCAAATCGAGTTTAATTCTTAGAAAACTAAAATCATTAAATAAAATTTAATATGGTGAGGAAGATGCATTCGAAATAAATGACCCTTAAACTTGTTT